ATATTTTTATTATGTATAATTCTTTAAATTGAAGTAATTCTTTTTTTCTGTTGTAGGTAAGAATTCTTAATCCTTTTATGCAAATTTGTTATTATATTTCTAAAGATGGATGTGAAGTTCTATTCTTGTATTCTTGTGAGTGCATTCATAAGCATTCGAAAAATATGCTTTGGAAGGCATTGTTAGAGCTTACATTTGGTTGGTTTCAATACACTAATTTAATCCGTTCAAAGAAATAAATCAGCACAAAACTACTTACCATAAATAATGCACTACAAAAGGATCTATTACAATGCATTTATCTGCACTGTAAATCACATATGCAGATATGTTTGCTGGGTGGATGAAATATTCTGCAAGAAATTATGCAAATAAGGCTTACTATTCCTATGAGATATTTACTTACTTGGACTAATTTCTTTGTAGAGTTCAGAGATTACAAAGAAATTCTTTTCGTTTTTTGTGTTTTTTTTGAACAATTGTTGATAACACCTTTGATTTAGCACAGAGAAATTCGTTTGAATAGCACCTAGATACAAATTATTCCTATTTACTTCTATTGACCTGTGAATTGAAAGTTAAATTGCTTTATTGCACTCTTATTTTTATGATCAATAATCCACTTCTACATTTGTTAGTTCTCTTTGTGCACTTCGACCTCTTTTTACTAATTTTATTACTGAATGATTCACTCCAAAACCGGTACAGGATTATATCAAGATAAGATTCTATTTAAAACTAAAAGCCAGTATTATTGAGATCACACATTTAATTAGTGGGTCTCGTTGTAAATTTTATTCGTATAACAGATATATTAGGTATAGATTTAATCAAACATATAGTTGATTAACAATTTATGAATAAATAAATCGAATTAGACATAACTCTTTTTGTTTATTTTCTACACAGCGAGAGGTACAACAGTTAGTATATCTGTAATCATTTCTGATTCTTCACTTATATGCCTTCCTTTGGGCACTGCCTAAGACTATTTCACTATTATCTACGGATTATGCCTAGTACCCAATGTACAAAAATTTTTTCCACTATACACATTGACTCTGAAGACAGGCTGGAGTAGATATTATTTTTTATACAATTTTGATCTTTGATTGCAGCCTACTTCAGTAATTAGGACAGAAGCTTGTCATTTCATAATAACTGTTGGTAAAAGCAGAATAGACAGAAACCTGCCGTTTTTATTACATTTTTATATAACCTCTTTCATTTATCCTCTTTCAGCTGAGAAGAATAAGTTTGCATAGATAAAAGACTTCCGCTGAAATTATATTCCAGTTAATATGAATAGTAAGACAAGGATCTTAGTATTTAGATTTCTTAATTTATTTAAGCTATGAATGAGAACGTAATTTACGTCAACTATAAATATTAATTGAGTATATAAATAGGAATTGAGACGCTTTTAGAGACTTCTGTACTAATCAAATTATTAAGTAAAGGATTTGGGAAGGAAAAATAATTTATTTCGTCAAAATAGAGAGAAAGGCATTGAGCAGACCTATGAGAAGAAACATGGATAAGAACAGAAGACTTAATATTTGATTATCATTCTCATAACTAAATTATCTGTTTTGTTTCAACTATTCATAAGTTTTTTCCCTAACCAAGGTAAGTAAATGTTGTATTAAGAAAACTCTCCAACTTTATCATTTACGCGCATTTCAATTATATACCGCAGTTTAAACATTCGATTTTTAAAGTTCCTTCCGTTTTCACATTACTTAAACATTAATGTTATTTATTATTAAATTAGAACTTGTAAACTCATTACACAATTCAACATTTAACATTCGTGACCAGTAAAAATCAAATTGAATAAAAGTTCTCATGAATTAGAGAAGAATAATATTACCAATCATCTTTTATATACCTGTCCATAACTGCAGACCAAGCGACTTTTCACGAATATCATCTGACAGCGATGTGGATGCTCAAATGATCTAACAAGAATAGCACACGCAGTTAAAATTTAAGCAATATTAAGTCCAGCTAACGTTCTCCTTGTAACTGTAGTGTCATCACAATTTGACAGTGGATGTCTCAGAGGGATGGTATTGACACATTGTACTTACTTACACTCTCTCAACCTAAACTGCCTCAGCGCGAACCAAATCAATTTACTAACAAATATTTATCATATTATGACTAAGAGGTACCGTGGAACCGTCTGTTGGCTGTCAATTAAAAGATGTACGAATAATTTCACATATAACATATTTATTGGTTTAATAATTATTTGTTTATACACATATTCTTTTTTTTTAATTTCTATGTGTAAATAACGCTCTTTAATATATTAAACTCACATATATTTAAATCACTACAATTTATTTTAAATATTTATTTAAAATTTCTATTTCATACATTCATATGATTATTTAAATAAATTTAATTATTTAAAAAAAAAACTAATTTATTTTATTTCAACAAATATTATTATTTATTGAATTTTGTTCAATTTTTTAAATATTTTAAATATTAAATCTTTCTCTTTATTTTGTTCAAACTTCTTTAGTAAATTTTTAGTTTATATTAAATTTTTTATATATAAATTTTATTTTTCCCTTCAGTTACTTTGTTTTATTTTTTTTCTTGTATATTTTTATTATTTATTTCTTGTATATAAAATACAAACATAAATGCAACTATCTGCTTGCCTGCCTTATACATATATCCTGCATTCTACAGAAAGGACGAAAAGCAACGAAAATCGCCAATTACAAAGAAAGAAATGACAACTGAAATGCATTTCTCTGTAGTTGAAGCGTTAATCACAGTGCTTATCAGTAGCTGCAAGTCAAAAAATTTATTTTAAAAGAAAACTACAACAATTTTTAAGCAAAAACGAACTGCAACGAGAAGTTGAAGTTTTGGGAAGAAAACAAATTACAACGTGGAACATGAAACTCTGACAGCAATGACAACGACTGACAGTCTCAGCGCCATCTATTATCATTATTCTGCAATCTTGTCGGGCGGAAGCATAAAGTAACAACAACAATTTCGGTATAAACAAATATTTATTTATATTTCTTTTATATTTTTTCTTCCAATTTTACGCATTTACAATGCTTTCAACATATTTAATTGTCTGTGAGCGCAAGAGCCAAAGGATTTCAGTCACAAAATACAAATGGAATACCAAAGAGCAACGCAAAAGAATCGGTTACTTTAACTAATAACAAGTCCTTAAACACTTACTCGCTAACTAGTTGTTTGAGGCATCATATCCGTTCTGAGAATAGGGTTTCTATACCAACTCACATTAATTATGCAACTTTTTACTAAAAATTACTGTTTCAGATCTATTTTTAAGTGCTTATCATGACAGATAAAGATATTAATTTTAACAGATTAAAAATCAGACCAAACTTATATCGACGCTAGATAGGACATAACATCTTATCCATATCCAGATCAAATGTAAGAACTTTACTAATATGAACCTTCTCTTAACATAATGACTAACACTATCCATAATGATCAACAGGATTTGGAAGTTGTATATCGAAAACATTAAAAACCAGAAAAGGTTTTCACTGTATCTTAGCTTGTAATTAGTTGATCACTACTACTGTTCGTAGAGTATTAGTCTACTGCACTATTGCTCAAGAATGTTAATATAACAAATCTAATACTGAACGAATGAGTTATGACATTATTGGGATTATTGGATTACTGATAAATAAAAACTTATTATTTGATTTATCCCAGTCTATGGATGCGAGGTATGTATTTTTTTTTCATTCTACCGAGTAAACATATGTACTAATCTTGGAACGAAAATAGTACAGAAAAAATTTATATTTTTTATTAGGTTGACATCAAATCTGGATTACCAGAAAACGGTTACGTTTTATGAAATCACATTTGATTTTGTATTTGAGTAATGATATCGTAATGAAGATAATCCTAAATAGACATTAATGCAGCTTCAGAGCAAAATATCGACAGAAAAATCAGTAATTTTGCACAGTTAAAAGAGAAGAACATACGAAACTACGATATATTTTGGATCGATCGACAAAGGAAGAAATTCTAAAGAAACCATTTGTGATACTACCAAGTACTACCTTAACAATATAAACGAACATATTTCAATATATTCATACGTTTTCCTTTCTCAGTGATTATATACAAATACATACCATTATTTTTTGTTTTGTTTCGTATATGAAGATAAAATTAGGCTTCATTTTTTAACGTTCTTTGTAGGACAGAGAGAAATAATGCAAAACACATGCTGAGAGGTTACCCGGTATTGACACATAAACAATTTGTGTACGGCTGTCATATATCAGTCAAAAAGTAAAAGGTAATAGAATATATTCGATACTACAATTTAGTGAAGAAATTGACTCATAAGAATACCCTGACTACATCAAGAGGTTCAGTAGATCTCTAGGCTGCAGTGCCAAACCCCCCAACTTTATAAAGTGTTTTTTGTTCCATGAAATGAAACAATTTGAATTTAAAATATGCCTATTAATTCTAATGCAACCAAGAGAAGCAAATATATACTTTTGGTGATATTATTTACGTATCAATAAGCACACATCTTATTTTTTCCCATACATTTCATGTAAAATTATTCCCACATCACAAATATAAGTGATCGGTTATAAGCTAACTAAAATTCGCAACTACTTAAAACTAAATATATTAAATGCATTCTCAATGTAAATTATATATCTACACTTTTATAATATTACTTAATATACTAAAACACAAAAAATTATAATTATTTATAAAAGTAACCAGTAATCATATTTATGAAGCAATATTCTCTAAATCATATTGGGAACATAAATAACGAACTCGTATTTAATTAAAACTATATATAATATATTAAATGCATTTTAGAAGTATATTATAAAATCATAATTTGTTTTAAAAGTAATCAGTAACCAGTATTGTAATAGAACGGTTACTTTTTCTTTATCATACAACAGTGTTCCAATCTGCTCGTTGGATTGCCTTAAAAAGTGCAACTGTGCAAAAAAACTATTTACACGTTGTGTCGCCAATATTTTGCTGCTGCTGTTGTTGTTGTTGTTGTTGTTGTTGTTGTTGTTGGTGGTGTTGCCTTTCCGTTGTACCGCTTGGTCCCGTGTTGGTAGCATTCCCAGATTCCTTAACCGTAAATGTCACATAATAACGTTTATTGCTGTCCAACTTTTCTGATGGCAGTGAAATAAGTTGTTTACTCTTTCCGTGCGATAATTCGAGCGCGACTTTTCCGCCACAGCCCGTGCCACTGGTTAAAATTTTCGGCAGATAAAAACTGCCAACTCCAGTTTTTTTATAAGAACCAAATCCGAATTTCGGCATTGTATGGTGATTCATCATTGGTACTACAAAAACAGAATAACAAGAGTAGTTGAGGGATAAGCAAACTCGTTATAAAGTATAAGTGCAAGTGAAATGTGTGCAGATTTAAATGATTGAAGATACAGAAGACCAACACTTATTGCTTCGTAATTATCGCCTTAAAGTTGTTTGTATGTTTATTTATTTAAAAAGAAAAAGTTTTAATTATAAGTAATTGAAGAAAATTTTATTCTCTCTTTATATGCAATTGCCTCTTTTTATAATTAATACTTTTAAGTGCAATGACAGCCCAGCTCAACTGTCATTTATCTACTGATTTCTTATTCAAACTTTTGGCGCAATTATTTTGTAATTTAATAGTTTGACAAAATTTTCCTTTAATTATCCTTACAAATACGCAATGCGTTACCAAGCAACTAAGATAAAAGTGGAAGTAGAAAGTAACACTGACCAAAATTTATTTGAGAAACTTAGTGGTCTTGTATTTCATCCATTTTCATTGCTGAATCTTTATACAACAATTTCTTCACATCATCTTTCAGTAGTTTTAAAACGATTATTATAAAGCACATAAATTCTTCGGGTTTATATATTTAACCCCCCGTGTCTTTGATGTGCGATAAACTTCCTAAATGAAGAAATAAATACGTACACCCACAGTTACACATTTTGCACAATCATTCGCACGACTAAATTTAAGAATTTATTCTTTTATTTTTTTATGATTTTATTCTTTTATTCTTTTATTCTTACCTCCTGCGGAAATAGTATGGCGAAATGACATCACTTGCAGTAAATAAAAACACTAACCGGGAGACAATTTTTTCACTTTCTTCGTTTTTCGCAAAGAAAATAAATGGGAAAAACTTTACTGTAAGGAATAAACTTCAAATATTTACAGGAAAATAAATGAATATTTTTGTTATTTTATTATTTTTTTCGCCCTCATTTTTGTCTGTCAATCTCAGCTATACTATTTATTTATATTTTATTGCGCATTGTGTATTAAAACTTCATCAGTCATAAATGTATTGCACCTTTCACAGGATGCAACAATTTGTACTTCACGTTCTGTACTGCAATTCACCCACTAGGGTTACAGCATGGATGGCAAACAGAGTCATATAAAAATATTGCAATACGTATTTTTTTTATCTGAGGTTGTCAACTGAATAATGAAGTGGGACAAGAAAATATGTACATTCAGCCAATTATACTGTGAAGTCAGGCATATCAAGGAAGAGTTACAAGATAAATTTTTAATTTTCTCAATAAACATGGAAAGCGATTTAATAATTATGGTAAGCTGTAAATTTTAAACGTATTTATTGTGATAGACGCGTTTAGAGTAGAAAGATGATAACCAATAAGTTTATAAACATAATAGTGTCAGATTATAAGGAACTTTCAAATGATTTATAACATTCTATTTAAAAATTAAAACAAACTTTTTCTATAAAAAGTCAAACTCATACTGTATGGAGCAGAATGTTGTAGTATGACCATTAGTGATGAGAAGGCATTAGGAGTTGAGAAACAAAAGTTTCTCGCAGGACTTGGGGTCCTGGTAATGTTAAAAACCAAAAATCTTCGATTAATCTATGGTTCTAAGATCGAGTATCGATTTCAAGCAAAACCAAGACATTGATAATTTAGTGTATTTAAAACCAGCAGATTCACAGGCCTGGCAAGTAACGTAAAATTAGGAAAACACTCCACTGAACTTATTTTGATTTAATATCCACTAGTGGAAAAACCAATACATAACATCAACGTCTTTGATATCAAGATACTGAATGATCTGACGATACTCGCTACTACCAACTGCTGACAGCCGACAGCTAGTAGCTATTGTACTGCTGTTTTAAATGCGACCAAGAACAATAGAAATCTATAAAGGTCAAATTAGCTGTATGAACCTGTTTTAAAAAATGGAATAAAAGTTCAATATTTTACAATTTATAATTTTGGTATTATAAATGTAAAGAAAAACTGTAAGGAAAGTTTAATTGAGCTATTGAAATTTTATCTTGTAACTAAGGTTGTCAGTTATTCTATCATCATCATTCCTGATGATTTAAAAGTCACCTTAACCACGAAATGTACGCTATCGATCTGGAAGAAAACATAGACGAAAATAAAATGCAGTAGGTTTTTTATTGTATTAGTGAAACGAATTTTTTGGAAAACATTCTAGGAAAATTAATCGTAAAAGTAAAACGTACGATGCAGAACATGATACTTAGAGCCCAGGAATATCTGACTTGACGCAGCCACTTACTAATACGATTGAGTTACCGAATCACTCCGACACCAATTGTAGTGTCGATCGGTGTTTTCTCAGTCAACACTTTTTAATGTCGAAAGATAAAATTTATTTTGTGTTTGACACAAAAATTTCTTGAAACATCAAGAGCGATTTAAGCCTTTTTATCCTCAAACTAGCACATAATATATAATGGTATATATTATATATGAGTTGCAACATCAAAATAAACACTTAAGTCAATTTTTTTTATGCTGCTCTTAAAGGCATAGGACTCTTAAGCAACTGCTTCTTTAATGTTTTATGGATATAAAATGCGAGTAACAGTCTACTATAACTAACACCCAATATTTTTTAATATCAATGAGACTATTGATCAAGTGGGAGTATGGACTATAATATGTAGATATTATATAAATAATATTTGTATATAAAATATTGGAGATATATAATTATTTCTTTATTAAAAACTCAAATTTAAGCTTCTTAATTATTTACAAACTTCAACTCAAAGATCCCTTACAAATAATTTGTAATATTTTCCCTACTTTCGCTCGTTTGAAGCAAATAATTTCGAAATCATTATCAACACTTCAGAATACAACTTTCCTTTTAAGTCATTGAAGCTATTTGAAAAAGTATTATCAAAGTGAAATTATATTTTTTTAGCTTAACTCTTTTATTTACAAACATTTCTCCAACTTCCTCTTCCTTCTTGAAGTACGACTGCTACCGCTTTTTTTGCTAGAAACCAGCGCTGCATTATTTGACATTTTAAAAGTGGACATTAGTGCGAAAGTTGACAAGTTACTAATCGCGTTTTTTAACGAAAGTAAAATGTAGCACATAAATCCTTTAAGTCCCCGAGCAACAAACATTTTAAAGGATAAGAAATTAGAGCAAACAAAATAAAGAGCTGCAAAATAGAAGTGTAACAACAGCAACAACAACAACAATCATAAAATCCTGTGAAGCAACTCATTAAGCGTGAATTTAAATTTGAATAAATTTAAAAATAAATACGCGTAAATAGAAAAAATGTGCATAATTAAAATGACTACACTTAAGCTTAGTCCTTACACAAACAATTAAACGCAAAAACAAAGTTAAAAACCCACAACAACAATAACAAAAGCAGCAACAACCACAACAATCGCAAGAAGAACAGAAGGACTAAAATGCAAACATTATTTAGGCCAAAACAGGACATTCACTCTAATGTTTCGAACAGTTTTTCTTCAGCGCTGAAACGTGCAATATTTGTTTCTGTTTTTTTTTTTTTGCTTATATTTATTTCGTAAGGATAGATATAGCCGCAGGACCAGAACGGTCAGTGTATGGTTTGCTCTCGCAAATTATTATATTTACAATTCACACTTTGGTTTGGCGTTTGATGTTGACTGTTCTGAGTTTCGAGTCTCGAGTCTCGGTCCGCCATGTCAAACATGTTTTTTATGAGGCGGCAGAAATAAATCCTAATTACATTCGCATTCGCTTAATTGCCTACGAAATTTTAAAAGCTGCCTACGTACAAAATAAACAAAATCAAAATGAAAATGAAAACTTAAACAAAAATAAAAACAAATTTACACAAAATGAAATACAAAATAATATTTTAAAAATAAAAATTATACAAAAAATTATATATAATTTTATATTAAGGATACTAAGCATTCACCATTCAAGACAAAGAGCAGCACATTAAAAAGGATTTGGTTCGGTTTCTTTTTTCTTATGAAATTAAAACATCGAGCAACGAGTGAGAAAGTTGTGATTATGTCAAATTAAAAATGTATTCGTTCGACATTGCCGCCATTTGGTTGCTCGCTCCTTTGCTCCTTAAACAAAAGTCAACTTTTATAGAGCAAAATATACAAATAATCCTTTTTAATAGAATATTTTACAAAAAACAAAACAGACAAAATAAAAATAATGCTTAGAATTTATTTAAGAAAATATTTTAGAAGGAGCAAATAGTTTGAAAAGTATGTATGTTTGCCGGTATGTCTCCTTGTATACATGTATATAAATTTATACGCTATAAAGTAAAAAGTATCTAAATACAAATTGCCGGATATGAAAAAACTTCTAACTACTTTCAACTTATTTAAATTGCTCAAATAAAGTAGTTGTTTTTCATTAATTAGAAAATAAATGATTTTTAAGAACACTCAGTTTCTTGAACAAAAATTAAAAAAGATTTTTTAGTTGAATCTTAGCAAAGCGTAATCATATATTAATATAGAATAGATACAAATATTTGTTTTGTATTTTATATTGTCATATAACAAACAAAAATAAACTAAGAAAATTAACTCTAAGAATTCAGAACAATGGGCCACAAGCAGACCTACTTCCGTACCAAAACTTTTCTGTTGGAGACTGCCCTAAAAATAGCAATAACATCAAGTATTTATTGTGTTATTCGTTCTATAAAGTGTAGGATTTAAATATAATTTTTTTTCAAAATCTGATCTTATCTTCAACGAAGTGTGATGACACAAAGTAATCAGTTGTCCGCGGTAGGTTTATTTGTATTATTTTAAGAGTCCAATTAATTTTCATCATCTTGAGATACACAATTTATTTCTATTTTCTTAAGTCTAATTATATATTCTGTCAGAATTTGTTTGTAATATTGAAGCTAGTGGAGTCAGTGCACTTGAGCACTTATGCTCTCTATCAACAGCAAGGTTTCATCATAACCCCTCTCTACGCCTTGACTGAATTATTGTTTATCCATTCATCAGACCAAGCAATTATTAACCTCAGATCTGCATACCTCCCCGAGGAGCCTGTAACCCTTTTGAGATTCATTAATGCGAGGTTGGTAAGTCTGTCAGTTTTTGTAAATAATTTTAGTTATTATTGTTATCTTATTTTTCGCAGCGTCTATTCACCAGGTAGATGCAGCTGGAGCGTATGTCGGTCATGCAACAAGCAATTCTCTATAGAAAAGTGTAAAAGGCGAGTTTAGTGCTAAAAAGAGAGTCCATCCCTACTAAGCCTCAGCTTTCTGCCTATAATCATCGCAATAAAAATTGTCAAACTCCATGATATGAAAATATAAATATGAATTTAAACAATATGGATAACATGTCTCCAGGAGGTACTCGAAGCACTCGAGACTTGAGGAATCTTCCCGCTCCGCCGGCACGCACATCAGATCTGCAGGTGCGCAATTCATATATTCGTCACAATAGATCTATTATAGCAGAAATCTCAGTGAAGCCCTATGCTCCACAGGAAGATAAACGAATTAAGAAAAAGAAGAAGAAAAAATGATATCGCTGTATAAGTCATGCGAGCACTTAAGTCGCTTTGAAATGCAATTAAAAATTTTTTTATTGATACACTATTTCTACTATTACGTATTCTGTAGAGATTTGGTATAAAAAATAAATTTTCCTCTAATTAAATTTTACTTACTGTACGCAGCACATGGAATACCCGTGTATGCATGCGCCGCATGCAGACAACGATGCGTTTTTGTGGTACATTGCAGCGCTTTTTCATATGCATTATAATCGGGGCTCAAACGTCTTTCAGCCTATGAAATAAGAGATAATGCAATAAACCACAAAAATTATGGAAAACTGTACGTCCAACTTACCTCCTCATAAACTTCGTTAATATTTTGAAAATTGTATGTGCCGGGCTTTTGTAGTGCCTTCAACGTTTCATACAAAAACAATTCGAAATTTTTAAAAGTGTATTCGCTGAAATTATACCGCCTCAAACGTGTGCCCGTTTCACCGCCCAAAGCATCGCAGGACTTGTGATAGTCATCGACAGCGCGCTTCACCAGCACAGCTTCGTTAAGCTTATTAGAGCGAATTTGCAGTGATTTCAACTCCAGCAAATGTTGGAATATTTTGCGTTCCATGTAATATCTACAAGCATTCAGAGAAGAAAAGCGTTTTTTTTTATTTTTGAAAAGGAAAACATAAAATAAAAATTTTAACTTTGATATTTTGATGCAAATATACGGAAAATAATATAATTAAATATTTTCTCAAAATTAATTATAACAATTTTTATTTATATTTTTTTTTTTTTGTGAACTTCATTAAAATATTTGATATATTTTGGTTATTATTAAAAATTCATAACAAAGCAACGAATAGATTTCAGTCAAGTGTACTAAATTTTAAGTGCAAGTAATAGCAATAATTATAAAATCCAGTAATTTAGAGAAATTTCAATAACAAAATTATTATTCGAAGGATTTTTTGATATTTTTCAGTTTCTATACAAAAACCCACTTCCAAATTTTGCTCAACTTTTTTGTTCAGATTTATTTTTAATATTTGAAGTACATTTTCAACAATGCTAAAATGGTAGGAATGGTACGAATGGTACGAATGGTAAAATAAAATTAACTTTAGAGATCCTTCATACTTTTCGCATTTTAAAGTGTTTATTCATTTGAAAAATCATCACCTAAAAACCATAAAGAATCGGTCATTTGTGCCTTGAAATACGCAAATACAGAGATTCGCTTTCATTGAATCAACAACTGAAAATAAGTAGAAAGATTGCAAATGCGCTTGAAAGGACATCAAATAAATCACTCAAGAAGGTAAGAAGCGTTGATGAGCAAAAGAAAGATAACTTTTGAATGCTTCTTCTTGTCTTTTTCAAACCATTTTTTTTTTTCCGTGCTCAGAAAGATAAAAATTGTCCAGCAAAGCTTATAATCAAAATCCAAAAGAAAATACTTACAAAAAGATTTAGATATCAAGGATTTAATGGTACGTATCTGAATTTATATCAAAAAGAAAATTAAAAATCGAGAAACCATTTTTATACTTCTTATACATCCACAAAGTGCAGTTTGTGTTAATCTAAGGAATTAAACTTATTTTTTATAAAAATCAAATATATATAAATTACTTTATCGCATTTTATTTTAATTCCATGTATAAATTCACTTCCTTTCACCCTGCTACTTTTCTTCTCCCCGCTCTTGTCAACTGAGCTTATGTTGAGCAATTGGACTTTACTGTCTAGATATAATATATAATTTTTTTTCTATACAACTATCACACTTACATATAATTTTTAAATTCAGGAAATTGTCCTTGGCATATTTCACTTTGGTGATTTTTCCGTTTCCGTTATACACAATCTCTACTTCTTCCATTTACAATTCTAACTTTATTTTAAATTATTACGTTTTTTATTGCAACTTTCCTGCTCAAGACATAAATGTGACAAGTAACAAGTAAAAAAATTATTGCTGTGCATTTAAAACTAAAAATGAAATCCATAAAAATATGAATCTTTAAACTTAGAGAAATAAAAATATATCTTCTTATATAGTTTAAAATCTCTTTTATGTAGTAAGACGACACACGCAATTGATTTTTATACGATTTTATTCAAAAGAAATAAGGTTTTATTGAAGTTATCATTATAACACGCTCATTTCCTGAAAGGTTAAAGAATAATTTAATATATGAAAAAATATCGTACATATGAAGTCAATGTCACAAATATTACTCAAATATCGTTAGTTGAGGTCATCAAATGCCATGAAAATGCAATTACACATTCTTTAATGACGATATGTAGTCCATTGGTTTTATAAAATTGAATTACCAACCTTTAATGGATATAATCTTATACAATCAAACAATTTTGTAAAAATCTTAGAAGGTAGGGTTTCATCCAAGCTAACTACCTTTAAAATATTTTCGTCCTGAATAAATAATTCTACACCATATATATTCGATAAGCAAAAATTATAGAGTTGAATCTGAACATTGATCGTTTAGCTACTCATTTATGTAAGCAGATACTAAATAATGTAGGACGCTATCATTTTAATACTAAAGACATAGAGAACGAAAGAGAAGATAGAGAACCTGGTGTGAAATACTAGGAATCCTGTAACTTAGTATTTTGAGGTAAAATACTCTAACCGTTATTATTACTTTTGTCTTCAAATCATCAACAAAAAAAAAAATTTCCAGAGATAATGTATATGTTTGTTTTTGAGATCGTAATGTATCTTACTTGTCATAAAACTGAGCCTACCATAGCTGAAGCATTGAGTAAAACTTGCAGTACGATAAAAGTGAAACATCCACATATTTTATCAATTCATTTCTAATTGGCTTTTACCTTAATGTATTGAGACGTATTAGCTATAATCAGCCTGCTGACAATAGAGTCCTTATCTCTGAAAACTATGTGACAACAGATCATAACCCATTGCCAATAGTCGTATTTTCTTGTAATCTATGCACATTCATGACTGCTTGCAGAATAGTGTATGAGAGCAGAAATGCGAGTGATTGAGAGAAAATCCGAGGTGCATTTTAAAAGTAGATGTATTTTATAGATCAGCGGCATTTCTATCTAATGAAATCAAGATAAAAAAACACGTATTGCGGAGAGGACAACTCAATAAAATCTATATTTGTAATGTATCAACCGTTTATATCCAGGAGATGAAAGTAAGAACATAGCTGTTTTGCAAGCTACCTAACAAACCAAATAAAGTCTACTTTTTTGAATTAACAGATATTGAAAGGATTGTTGCATTAGGTTGAAAGAATTTCTTCGAAGTCCAAATGCATAAATAAAAAGAAGGTACCTAAGTGAGTATCTCATATCGAATGAAGAAATAAACTTTGTAATTTATGGTGGAAACTTAACCTCGAGAAATCAAAATTTAAAAGCTTTTATAATTCTTCTTAGCCTTTAAAGCCTGTTTATCTTTAATACCCCGAAAACAAAAACGAACTTTTAAATTATTTTAATATATTATATTTGATAATTTATTTTTTTCAATGTAAGCTATAATGTGAAAACAGATTTCATGACTTAATTACTTGAAACAAATATTTTAAAACACATATTGCTTTATTTACATTAATTTTAAAATTTGTGGAGTTGAATTTATTTATTTTATTTACGCTTCAGAACATATTTTTTCCTTACACGTCAAAAATTTGAATCAACTAACAAAGCAACTTATGTTTCTCCCGCATTTCAAGCGTTTTTTTCGTGGTAGTCGCTAAAAAATAAAACGCAGTAATTTGCGTTTTTTTATATAAAAAATTTGCAATATGAGCTCATTTCAAGCATTAAAAAACGTTTAATAAAAACTTCAGCCAACGCCAGCTTAAAAATTAATAAACTGTGAGAATATTAAATATTAAAACAAAAATTAAATTAAACATATTAAATTAGCGAGAAAAAAAATTAAATCAAAAAGGAAAATAAAAACAAAATATATAAAAGGTAAAACTTTAATTTTATGTAAATACAATGTAAATCAAATAAGTCCTTCACTAAGGCTTGTAATACTAATTACGTCCTTTAAGCTTAAACTAACATCTACTTGAAACTAATTTTTACAACCATGCTTTGTACATACCATACTCAGGCACCACACCAACTCAGTCCTCATCCACCAACGCAGACCCACTTACCCACCCAATACTGGCAACAAAATTCCTAGGTTCTCTGTCCAATATAATATCCTTGCTCATATAATGCAGGGAACGCTAAACATGTTTACATATTTACAATTCACAGTATAAACATTAAAATTAACACAACTATTTCACGTCTATTTAAGGATAATAAATGAGTTTCAAGCGCTTTCGAAAGATTTTGTTTTCGCTAACAAGTTTAAGGCAAAAGAAAAAAGAAGCAACCATTTTGGGATGGGAAAGTCGAAACTGTTGAGTTTCGAATTCTCACAACTCAACTTTGCCGAAGTACAACAGCTGTGCAGCCGCCGCCATGAGCGGGAATCGAATGGAATCCTTGTTAAAGCTTAGACATGGCATGCGTAGGCATTGGAGGCATTGGAGGCGTTAATACAATACCGCTTTGGATTTAACTAATTTTAATTGTTAACAGTTTTAGTGAAGATTTGAAAAACTTCAAATATTGTTGCTGTTGTTGAGCTTGTTTGTTTATTGTGTTGCTGTTTTAATGCTGCCTGTGTTCCGCAGATTTGCAGGATTTTAATTTACTTGGCAACCGAATTGCGATGCCACCAATTCACCAATTTTAAGCTTCAAAGCCTGAAAGCCTCGCTGTCAAAGGAACACAATAGGCAAAGCGCCACTATGAGCGACTCAATGATTCGGGCTGTTAATGTGTCTTAATTGCATTTGTATTTGTAGTTGCTAGGAGTTTTAAGTAAATTAATATTAAGCTTTAATTTATACTATTTAACAATGTTTTAAAAGTTTAAGCAAGCGCATTAATTTAATTACAATAAACACATTAAGGCGACATAATTTAAGTAATCGCAATTTCGTAGTTTCGCCCACACTAAACTTGTAATTTTATGCCCTGTTAAGGACTTGAGGAGCGGAAAATTTGTTGGTAACTCGTACATTATTTGACGAAAAATTTATACATTTGCTTTCATAATGAACGATATTTTATGAAATTAAAATTTATTTAATTACTGCACAAAATTAGCTAACAAACTTAAGTCGAAGAGGGGAGAATTAATTCCAACTAACGCAACACTCAAATAATATTTTTTCATTATAATTTACTAATTATTTCAGTTGTTCTAAAAATTAATTTAAATCATTTACTAAATTTATATGGAATTACTACTTTGTAATTACTACTTACTACTACCTCTAAGAAATACGTGACTAATCCCTTATACTTACAAGGTTTTAAAAACCAAACGAAAAAAAAACTCACTTGTGCAAGAGTATCTAAATGTAATATTTTTTTAAAATACAATATGAAGAATAAGATCAAACCTTAAAATTTCTTAATATAAAGTCGCCAAAAAGTTCTTACAAAAACATTTGGAACATTATGGTTGAACTCCGAGAGGCACCGAGAGAAGTTGGGTCCAAAATTGATTATAACAGTCAGGCCTTACAGAAATAAAGTGAAA